GTGTGTTGTCTCCCTCTGCTTCCTGGGCGTCCGGTGTTGTCGCCTTTCGGCTCTGTTCTGTGGTCGCCCCTCGTGTCCGTGGTCTCGCTCTCGGGGTTGCCCTCCTTGAAGCGGATTGGGGGGCGCGCGTGCTCTTGCCGTGCCTTTTTTTAAGGTTTGGGGGGGGGGGGTTTTGGAACCCCCCCCCCCCCCCCCCCCCCCCCCCTCCTGAAACCGTAAACCGCGGGGCAGTAAATGTACCTTGTGTCCGGTTCCGTATCTCTCGCCGATTATTAACCCCCCCCCCCCAGAGTTCTCCCGCGAGACACGCCTGCTCCCCCTTGGCGAACGAGCGGGAGATTCGTGCAGCAGGCCATGGCGGCGACCGGGGCGGGGTGGGGGAGCGAAGGTGCCAATGACGGCGGTAGTGGTGGTGGTGGTGGGCACGGCTGGAACCTGTTAGCGCTGGAGGCGCTGTCACTAACGGAGTACGAAGAGATTGTCGTCCTGGACCAAAAGGTGTGGATCGCGCTGCCGCCGCTGCTGCCAGACAGCTACCGCAGCCGTTGAGGGTAGCGAGGGTGCAGCTGCCGTTGACAGCTACCGGAGCCGTTGGGTGGTAGAAGCTGTTAGTAGCGGACGTAGTTTCCCACTAAGGGTGAGCAAACGTTCTGGCTTTGATGTGTGCGTTGTCAATAGCTTTGATGTGTGTGTGTGTTTTCTCGTTATGTCCAGGAAAGACAGGGTGATCGTGCAGACTCGCGTCCCGCGGTAGGCGGAAGCCCACTTCCTCTGTCCCCGGTACTACCGTAGTTTTGTCGGTTTTCGCGTGCCGGGACGCCCCATCGACCGAAAGCTACACACACACCCTTTCACCTCCTCAACCGGCTTGGCGGCATCGTGCTATTTTTCCTCTTCCAAATCGATCCTGTTTCGGGTGTTTGGTGGAATAGGCGAAACGTCGACCTGCTCACCCAAGGGACCAAACGAGAACCCGCCCTTCCCCCCCCCCGCTTTCACACAGATGGTTATTTTCCAGTCTGCGGAGCACCTGCCGCGGAGAGCTTTAATAGGCAGCGATGGCGGCGGCAGCAGCATTCCGCGCGAGGCGCAAGTTCCGGGAGGACAAGCGCCTGGGCGAGAGGGCGGGAAGGGCGAAGAGCACTGGTGGCAGGGCCGCTGGAGGTTTCTTAGCGGTGACGGCAGCGGCGGCGGGGAACTAGGGGGCTCCGAGTCTGCCACAGCGGATAAGCTGCCGCGGTTGTTGCCGGAGGGGGACGGCTGGACGATTGGGTTTGCGGCGGGGGACAAGTCGACTTTCGCATCGGGGGTGAGTGCTTGCTTGCCGCTGGGACGCGGCGGGGATGTGTGTGTTGGTTTGGGACCTTCCCCGCGTTGTGGTCGCTCCATGGGGGTTTTGCTGCGTCGGGCAGCTCGTACACGGGCACCTAGCTGTAAGCTGGGGCGGCGGTGAAAAGAGTGTTGGTGTCGCCTTAAGACACCCGGCTATCCCCGTTCGCGGGGTTCCATGGGGTTTGCGTGTGGGGTCCATCGATGAGTTGTGGACGTCCTACGCCTGGTGCGCTCAGACGTTTGAGTCGGATGGCCAACGGACGGGCTGTTTTTCTCCCGCGTTGCGCTTCACACACCCGCCGTCGCGTCCGAGCATCCGTCCGGCATGGCATGGCGGGTGTTGCCCGTTTTGTTTTGTTTTTTGGAAGGTTTCCTGTTTGGCAAACGAGTGGGGGGTTGCTTCGCTTGCGCGCTCATCCCAGCTGTAGAACTAATTTCCAGCCTTCGTTTCACCATGCAGGCCTCCGCAGCCCCAGGCACAGGGTAGTGCCGCGTGTTGCGCATTTTTTTTCTCTCTCCCCACACGTGCTACGCTGCTGTCTTATCATCCCCATCCGCGTCTTTGTTGTTTGCGCCCCGTGACGGCTGGTTTTTCTCTCTTCTCAGCCAGGAGTGAACAGCTTGTCACCGGCCCATCGCGACCTCTTTTTCGGGCAGCACGCGGCCCTCATGACCGTGCGCCCGAACGCCGAGCTCTACGATGAGATTTCGCACCTCCTCTGCAAGGTGCGCGCGTGGCGACCGCGTTGATTTGCGGTCCGACTTGGTGACGGTCCGACTTGTTAGCGTGTGCGGGACAGCTGCCGTGTTTTTTTTTTTTGGGGGGGGGGGTAGCAACATCAGCGGCGCGGTCCGCGTGTGAAATGCGATGTCTTTGCTTCCGGCTGGTGCTTGCGTTGCCGGTACAAGGATTCTGCGTAGCCCCGTTTTCTCTGCCGGGGACAGCGCGGCACCGGCATTGCCTACTAAGACTGTTCTCCTCGCAAGGCGTACAGTGCTCACTGTTAACTCTCGCAACGTGCGTGAACTTAGACGATACTTGGAAGGGAAAGGAGGTAATGAAGCGGTGAAGTACAATGTACTTGTTCCGTGGCCGGTTGGGCTTGACACGAATCTGGCACGAGAACGGTGAGATGCTACAATAGGTGAATTCCTCCACTCTAGAGGGGAAACATCAGTTATCTCCTAGGCAGTTGACACCCCTCCGTCATCGTAGGTAAGGGAGGCGTTT